GGATCCAACGGGAGGAACGAGGGGCCGTCCAGGCAGCCACCGGGGCACGAGCAGCAGTTACGGTGCGCGTCCTGCCCGCCAGCCGACATCGGGGCGTCCTACGCCGCCGCCGGGGCCGTCGGCTCGCCCGGGATTGGCGCGTCCGTCATCGGAGCGCCCGGCATCGGCGCGCCCGGTGGCGCGCCCGGCATCGGCGCATCGTCCGCCGCGGACCGCGTCGGCCCATGCGCCCCACAGTAGGGCACGGCCACGCCGGGCGTCGCCCGCAGGAACGCGGCAAAGGAGTCGTGGTCGAACGTGCCCTCCATGATGGCGAGCCGCGTCGCCGCGTGGGGCGGGCGGTTGATGGCGTCGACGACGACGACGCCCCACGCGTGCTTGACGGCGTCAGCCTGCTCGAGCCCGCGCAGCCACTCCGCCGCGTCCTTCGCGGTGCACTCGTTGTACGACGACGTGCGGGCGGCGAGCATGCGCCGCATCGCCAAGTAGTCGCAATCGCTGCAGCCGGCGCGCTGCACCACGGGCGGCAGCGTGTAGCGCGTCACGGCCGGGAGGTGCTGCGCCGGGAAGCAGAGGGCGTCGCTGCACGCCGGGCAAAGGGCCAGGTGGCGGAGCGCGAGCCCCGCGCGAGTGCGCCGCGAGTGCGCGAGAGCCGCCGCTAGGCGGCGGTAGCTCTCATAGAGAGCGCCTGCGGGCTGCTGCTCGCGCAGCGCCACCTCGAACGCGAACTTTGCGTCCGCGACGAGCTGCGGCGCGTGCGGCGCCTCGCCGTGCGCCTCTGCGTCCGCCTCGCGCAGCGTCAGCGCGACGCCGCGCCGCGCGCCGAGCAGCCGCGCGCGCGTCAGCCAATGCGACGGCCAGCACTGCGGCAGCAGCAGCTCCTGCCCATCGGTGCCGCGCCAGGGCTGCTGCTTGAGCTTTGGGTCGGCGCGCCATTGCGGCGGCTTGGGGAGGCACTGCCGGTACCACAGTAGCAAACGCGCGTCGAGCTGTTGCGTGGACAGCGAGTCCGGGTCGCACGAGAAGGCGTTCGGGTCAGCGTACGGGCCCTCCATCGCAGCGAGCTCGTAGTGCATTTCAGCGCCCATGCTCGGCGGCCTGTGATCGCCGCCGTACGTCTGCAGGAGCCGCCGCACCTCACGGACGATGGTCCTGTTGAAGGCGATGGTGATGTTGTCCTTCTCGACCGCCTCCGTCGCCTCCCCCTCGCCCAGCGGCTTGTCCGCCGTTTGGTACGCGTCCTTCGTCTCGACGGTGCCTCCGTCGGCCGCGTCGAGAACGCCCAGCAAGGCATCAGTGGCGATGGATAGCGTGCGCGCTGACGCCTCGCGAGCCGCCTCCCCCTCCCCCTCCTCCTCGCCGTCCTCCAGCTGCTCGAACAGCCGTGCAGCAGTCTTTTCTGCCTGGGATCGCCGCGCCGCGTTCACCTCCTCCTCCGCCGCCGCGCCCTCCGAGGCCTCCGCCGCCGCCGCGGCGGCGGCGGCGGGCGACGGCGTCGCGGTGGCGGCGGCGGCAGCCGCAGCCTTGCTCTCCGCCCGCTTCGCCGCCTCCCGCAGCCTCTTGTGGCGCGTGGCGCGCGCGGTTTTGGCTTGCCCGGGTCGCTTGGGGTCAAACTCGATGGTCTCGATGCGCCAGTGGTCACGCGTGTATGCCTCGCCGAGCGCACGCGAGACCCTTGCCCACAGCTTGCACTCCGCCTCGACGTCGCCCTGGAAGTGTGGCACCCTGTGCCACGGCCGCTCCGGCTTGTCCTTCTCGAGCTCCCGGTCGTAATCCTCGTGGCGCGCGGCAAGGACGGCGCGCCAGCGCTGCTCCGTCTGCGCAGGCCGGGGCCGCTCGACCATGAGCGCGTCCATCTCGACGTCCGCGTTCTCCTTCTCGCCGCCGCCGCCGGCGAGCGGCTTGCGCCGGCGCCGGCGGCCGGACGCCGCCGCCGGCGCAGGTGCGGGCGGAGTCGCGCGCCCCGTCTCGTTGTCGGGCGACTCCTCGCCGCCGGCGGCGTCGGGTGCGGCGACGTCGGCCTGCGAGTCGCGAGGGCGGCCTGCACCGGCGGCGGTCCGCAACGTCTCGCGGCGCGCCGCCAGCCACGCCGTGAACTCATGGGCAATGTCGCTGTCGTCGGGCGGCTGGTACAAGCTCGGCTGGATGTGGTCCATGAAGGCCTCCATCTCGGCCGCGGTCACGTCGTCGGGCGCGTCGACGGGCTGCAAGGCCGTGGACCGCACGGCGGGGCGGCTGCGCCAGGACTGGCGCGTCGCTGACGACGAGCCGAAGCAAAAAGGGCTGCACGACGGCAAGCCCGGCTGCATTCTCGCGCCGGGACGGCGATCCTGGTCGAGCACGAGACGCCGCCTGCTTTTGCGGTCGTTTCTTTTCTTGATTCCGTTTGTTGCAAACGGAATCAGTTGCAAAACCCTGAATAAAAAAACAAAACGCGAAAATCCCCTTTGCAGCCAAGCCTACCGGGCACCTAATTTATTTTAGGAGATGAGGAGGAGTGTGGTGCTACCTTCGCCCACCGCACCCTTGGGCCGCTTGCCTCTTCCTATCTCTCTCTCGCTCGTCGCAGTCTGTCGCAATTCTCGCCCGCAGCGCAACCCTCACTCATGCTACCTCGCGGTCGTCCCACTCTTCGTTCTCTCTCCTGCCCCGTCGTCCTTTGCCTCATCGCGCTCTCTCCTCTGCCTCGTTCTGCGACGGCGCCGCCGCCTGCCTAGGTGCCTAGCGGCCCTTCTTTGCTCTCGCGGCTTCTCTCACCTATTCGGCGTACTCCGAGAAACTCCTACCCATCTCCTTGGACCTTGCAGCATATCTCGGGTCCTCCAG